GGGATCCTATGACCCCAGCTGACTTCCTGCCCTTTGGGCGGGGGGCTGGACTCGATGATCTTCCGAGGTCCCTTCCAGCCCTGATGTCTATGAAATCTATGAAAACCTCATTGTGTATTTGAGTAAATATGGTATTTAGCAAAATTCATATCCTAGAGATGCATCTCTTCCCCTGAAAACTGGATAAGTCTACTGTAGCATTTGATTGCCATTTAGAAAACCTAAAACAATACTGAGAAACACTCTTCAACACTAAGCTGACAAAACAGGAGAGAGAGAGAGGGAGAGAGAGATTAGATATTTTATCCAAGATACAATCTCTGCCCTGAGCAAGAGCCACTGGATTTTTGCCACACAGACCAGATGGATAGATATATGAGTGTTCAGAACTAGTTGGAGGACTACTGTGAGATTTTACAATAAGAAAATTCTTAGAGAGGAGAGGGGAATGTTGTTGACTACTTTTATATTGTAGATTTTTTTGTGGCTCAGTGACAAATAGGAAGAAATTATTTTGAAACCCAAAGATGAATAAATCATGCATGACAAAAGTTTCTAATTTATTTTTTAGCAGTGCCAACAGCAGTCTCCACTGGACCATGAATCAAGGGACCGGAGCAATGAAATGCTCAACAATGTGACCAAGGGTAAATCTGCATTTCAAAGAAGAGCCTCAATCTAGCGACATCTGCTACAAAGGAGGAATTACACTGGACAGTATATATTTTGCATTCCCAATGTTTCTCACCTTATGCTATAAACCTAAGAATTTAAGACAAACAGAAGTGCCGTAGATATGCCACATAGAGGGGCTGGGTAAAACTTAATGGGAACACTGGAGTGATTTTGGACTTGGACTGTAATTCTGGCTTGGATCATGAAACAGTAGTGGAAGCTTTGAATAACATTTCCCTTTTGGTATTTTAGAAAACAGCTTCCTAAATAAATTGGTTTGGAATAAGAAAGATATCTCCTCAGAAAATCCTTGCCTCTTGCATAATTCCTGGACCATCATGGCTACAACATCACTCTTAACACTATCAACTTGATCCCAGGACAGTTTCTTCAAATTGATTTTAGAGGCCAGATGAATGAGTGATTATCAGGGACACCCCCCTCAATCACTTGAGGAAGAGAAGGAGGAGGAGGAGATAATAAGTGGAGCACATAGTTCTGTGTCATTTTATTGGCACCAAGATGCAAGTATGTGCTATGTGTGTTGCTGAGAATGCTAGGGAGCAAAGAAGTGATGGAAGTGGGGCCGGGGTGGGGGGGCTAAAGAATGTGATAGGCCCTAAACATTATAGGCTGAATTCAAGTTTCATGGTATGCTAGGCCCTAATTGAAAACACAGGCTTAGAAGTAATGTACCCTAACACTTTTTATCTAGACCAAATATTCTCAGCCAGAGTGCCATGGCACCCTGGGTTGCAATGAGTCTCTTTCAAGGGTGCTGAGGCACAGGTGCTGTGACCAACTGAAACTGCTCCCATTCCTCATTTTCTAGTAGTTGTGTGTGTGTGTGTGTGGGGTGGGGGGGGGAGGTGCTACTGCCTCCATTAGGTTTATCTGCCCCTTTCCTACTGCAGTCACTTCCCAGTGCCACCCTGCACAGGCCCCCTGGAAATGTTTCTAAATTCAGAATAGTTATGAAGGTAAAAAAGGTTGAGAAACACTGACCTAGACCACGGTCTGGGTGGACATCACTGTTAACATTTTGGAATAGGGCGGGGAGGGGGGGACGGGACTGATTTCTTTTTTTCCTTTCTTTTATTTTTTTTTGTCTGGTTGTTTTGAGCTTTTTTTGTATGGTTGTTTTCCTCCTGAAGGCCCCGCAGGTACTCTTGGGTTCCTGAAGCATATATACAAATATACTGTTGTAGGCTACAGCATCCCATCAGCCCAAGTGTCCAACCCTTTTGTCTTCTAATTCAATGTGGAGATCAGTTCTGTAGTTTGATCCCTTGCAACTTTCAGGGACAGCTCTGCCTGTTTCTACTGTCTCAGGTCAGGCCTGGGTGAAGTGTTAGGGGGCATCTATGGAGCACACGAGAAAGAAAACTTATTTTGGCATTTCAGTGAGAATGGAAGTTCTGTTTTGACTGGTTCTAACCCCTGGCAAAGTGAAGAGAGAAAGAACCAGCAGCATACCTATGGGTTGGGGAACTTCCTTCTCATCAGCACAGAGGCAGAAAGGGATCTTGGAGTCATTATTGATTCCGAGATGAACATGGGCCATCAATGTGAGGGCACGGTCAGTAAGGCCAACCACACCTTGTCATGCATCCACAGATGCATCACAAACAGGTCCAAGGAGGTGATCCTGCCCCTCTATACAACATTGGTAAGGCCGCAGTTGGAGTACTGCATCCTGTTCTGGGCATTGCACTTCAGGAGGGATGTAGCCAGCATCGAGAGGGTCCAGAGGAGGGCCACTCACATGGTCAGGGGGCAGCAGGGCAGGCCCTACAAGGAGAGGCTATGGGAGCTGAACCTCTTCAGCTTCCACAAGAGAAGGCTGAGAGGGGATCTGGTGGCCATCTATAAACTTACCGGGGCGGGGGGGCGGGACCAGCGGGGAATGGGAGAGGCCCCGTTCCCCCAAGCACTACCAGGAATAACGAGGAATAACAGCCACAAGTTGATTGACAGTAGGTTCAGGCTAGACATCAGGAGGCACTACTTCACAGTCAGTGAGGCTAGGATCTGGAACCAACTTCCAAGGGAAGTGGTGCTCGCTCCAACCTTGGGGGGTCTTCAAAAGGAGGCTAGATAATCACTTTGCTGGGGTCGTATGATCCAGCATTCATTCCTGCCCATGGCAGGGGGATGGACTTGATGATCTGCTCAGGTCCCTTCTGACCCTAACAACTAAGAAACAGTATCTCTTCACCCTGACCAGGGTATAACAGGAATGGGAACAAAGAAGAATCTTGGAGTCAAGAGGGATACATAAGATGACAGGATGACATTTCTAGAGCTGTGGCTTGGTCAGGAATTTAAGGTGAGCACCCAACTCCTACAATAGTATGAGTCTGGATTTTTATTAATGATAAGTAGATGGGATATTCAGTCTATTCAGATGGAAAATTCCTGCCATTGCTTCAAAATAGTATATGGCTATAGAAGAAAATAAAAAAAACTCTGCAGGATGAGCTTTGTGGAACTATATATCAATCCTAATAGTTAAATCAAACATGAGATCATATATAATGCAAATGAAGTGTTAGGAATTCATCCACTTTCCAAATAGCTGTTTAGTTCATCCATGTTCCAATAACCAGTATTATTTGCTATTTGCAAACATTTACTTAGATAGAGTTTTGCTCATTCTAATGTTTTTGGAATGGATATGTGGATTTGTATTTTGATATAAAAATCACATTTGCCATAGGAAGAAGTGTATGTGTGTATGAGAAAGAGTATTTGCTATTCATTATTTCTTATTCATCATTTATAATAACTGGTTACAAAAATATCAGTCATCTAATCAGGGCTAGAATAACATGGGAATCAAGTGATCATTCAGACATCACAAATAAGAAATAGTGAATAGCTTTAGTGAGCAGTTTGCAAACACCATATTTAATTTGCTTGAACTCATTCATCATAATAATTAACAGAAACGAAAAGAAAATTAACACAAGCCAGGAAAAAAAATCACTAAGAGAAAAACAGGTTAGCTGTATCCAACAGTACCACAGAAAGCAATGGTTGGGGGGTTTATAGTATGGGAATGGCTCTGGGTCCTATTCTTGGCTCTGCCAGTGCTCTGATCAGCATAGGCAAGCTGTTTCCCTTTCATTTACATTATTCTCATCATTCCTATCTAACAGATAAGGTAAATAATGATATTCTCTTCCATGAGATACTTAAGGTGAAGTTACATGTTATACTTTTATATTAAGGGCACTTAAAACATGAGCGTCTGTGTTAAAGCTTGTTAAGAGCCCTCTGAGCATCACAAAGTTATGCAACTTCAGGTGAGGGTTTACTCTCCATTGTACTACCTAACTAGTGTTAGGGCAACTTGAATCTGCTCCATGGAGATAAAATTAACAAATTTCAGTCCTCCAGTGTCCCAGGATGCACTGCTCCCAGCCCCTCCCTCCACCAACCCAGAACAGTGATATAGCCCAGGTGTCTTGGCTCCTAGCCATGTCCATGCTTGCCAGCCCTCTAATGGCAAGTCAGAGCTGTGCAGGCAAGAAATGATATTAACTCTTAATGCATGGTGTAACTTTAACACTGCTTAACATTCCACCCATTTAGTATAATGTGTAACTTCAATGTATAACTTTGCGTTACAATGTGTAATTAAGTATAATGTGTAATTTCACCCTTAGAAATCTACACATCAAGTTAGAAAGTGCATATCCACAACTCAATGCTCAGGCTCAGAACCAGGAATGGTTACAAAAAAACACCTGTTGGCTTATATAGTATCATCGAGATAAGATGATACTTGATAGCAATAACCTCTAACTTTATACAGCTGTGACTTGAGTTTATAGTGAGGTATTTAGCCACAATGCTACTGTTTATACGTCTATAAACTTAGTTTATGATGATATAAATAGCAATGCTAATGGCCTTAACAGCAACACTCAACAGCATCACAGCTGTTGAGTGCCACTCTCATGCAATTTGTATTACTGTTTATATCAGTAATGGGATGTTTATATCATCACAAACCTAGCTAGGTAGTCAAAGGTGCCCCATATACCATACAAGAAAGATGAAGACCCACATTTTAGATGTAAAGCTAAGCCTTTATAGTGATGTTTTTATGGTCAGAATTTCTCAACACATCTTGGATTCCGCTAGGAAAAGGCTCTTAATAGACTATTTATTTGCCAATATACAGAGGAAGAGATGACTAACATTTTACCATGTACCAACAGTACTGTGAGATACCCAGAAGCAAGTGAACACCCCCCCCCCACACACACACACGCACACAAAACAAACAAACAAAAAAGCCCCAACAACGAACTTACGGTCTCCTTGACAGTGCACAGGACCCACAGTTATTTTAGCTTCAGATCCAGGTCGGTCAATATCTCCAACCACTACTTGACTCACGGGTAGATGTTCTTTGTAAGATAAGAGCCCAGTGTCTTTTCTCCTGAATCACATAAAAAAAGAAACAATAATTGTGATATGGGTATAGGGAAATCTTTGTTCAGTGTGAAAGTGGCTATTGTACAGTGACTGATAACTAGAAGAATAAATAGTCCCAGGAAGCAATAATTAAACCAATAATTTGTTACGCTTTAAGGTCTGTCTTAAATCACAGAAGCTTGCTTAAATATCTTATTACAGTATGTACTTTTGTATATCAAATATATTCATTTCAGCTAAGAAAACCTCTCCAGAATACTTTTACTGCGTTTTTCATTTGATTTCTCAAGTTTAGTAAATGTAATGCTTCTAGAGGGTACCAAATTGACTACCCTATAAAGCAAAGTCGTGTGTTTACATACAGTGGATCTCACAAGAATAGGTAGCCATAGTTTCTCCATATGTTTAGCATATCTACTCCAACCCTTTTCATTAAGAGCACATCTCTTTGTTCACCAGAGCTCCCCAAGGGATGACGAGGTCGAACGGTTATAAACTACTGCAACACCATTTCAGGCTGGACATAAGGAAGAATTTCTTTACTGTCCGAGCCCCCAAGGTCTGGAATTGCCTGCCATTGGAGGTGGTTCAAGCTCCTACATTTAACACGTTCAAGAGTAAATTGGATGCTTATCTTGCCGGGATCCTATGACCCCGGATGACTTCCTGCCCTCAGGCAGGGGGCTGGACATGATGTTCTTCCGAGGTCCCTTCCAGCCCTGATGTCGATGAAATGTATGAAATCTAGAGAGGGGTATACCTATTTAATCCTTGGTTGACAAATGTGCCTATTTTGGGGAGGAAGGATTTCCCATTTACGAAGAAATGGAAGGACAGCAGCAACTCATTTCACACAGGAAACCAATCAGTAAGGCAGCTTTTAGTCACAGCCAGCCTTCACTACCTTTGAACTAAATAATTTTCACTTCACTTCTGGAATTGACCACAGCCCACACCTACTCACACAACAGTTGTGTGTGGATTGTTTAGCTTGCTGTTTTGCCAATACCCGCAAGAGACATTCTTTTTGGTCCCAGTTGTGACTGCTTAGTGCTCTCACACTGCTTACACCTTTCAGAAGCATTACATTTACTAAAGCTTTAGAGACCAAACAAAAAACTCAATGGAAGTGTTCTTGAGAATCTTCTTGGCTGAAATGAATGTGTTTATCACCCAAAAGTACATACAGTGATAAGATATTTAAGCAAACTGATGTAATTTAAGAGCTTAAAAGGGCAATGTTTTCTAGGATCCTTACAGGATAAATACTATTTTCATTGAATTAATGTTTTTAGTGTCATTAATAACCAATAAGGGAATTAGGTTTACATCTAGAAAAGGGTTTAATGTATGTTAGTCCCACCTCCCTCTCACTGAAAGCATATCTTCTAAAACTGTAACCCTCAGAGCACCTGCTCTACTGATGCCTAAATTCCGAAGACACTTCCATTTTCAGCAGTGCTTTTCAAAAGGTATCCACAGTTCCACCAGTGGCAACTCCTACAAGTGTCTCAGGCCATGTGCAGATGAAACAGGGGCCCTAAATTGAAGTGGTGGGTTTTTAAAAACACCGCTTCAATGTAGGGCCCTTTAAACCCCTGTGTTGTGCACATACCCACTTACCAACCTGTCTGGCCGCAGGCAGGGGAGGGGAGGGTGAGCTGCTGGCAGGTGGAACAGTCCTTGGGCTGCGAAGGAGGGCGGGGGGGTCGGACTGGTACTTCCTTCTGCAGCAGCAGCAGGCCCCACCCCCAGGTGGTACCCACCCACAGGAACCTGGCTTGGGCGGTCCCCGGGGGCACCACAGCCACGGAGGGAAGCACTGGGCCGCCCCACAGCTGAGCCAGGCAGGTAGGCTCCAGGGAAAAAAGGCAGAACCTGCCTTCCTGAGTTCCTGCATGGGCTTCCTGCAGTGGTCCTGAGCTTCGTGGAGCCTGGTGCTTCAGTCTGCAGCTGTAGGGCAGCAAACTAAAACTGTTCTGAGGAGTTATAGTTTGCTGCACCCCAAGTCATTTAAGGCACATTACACTGCCGAATTTGCTACAGCAGCTAGAATTACTGTGCAATACATTGCTGATGTGTGCAAACAGCAGTGCAAAAGCATTTAACCTGCTTTAAAGTGTCAGGCACACATGCCCCTCATTTCATCTACACATGACATCTTGAAAATGTTGCAATATTCAGTGCCTTGCTCATTTCTAATCACATCAGAATCCATAAATTAGGCATTCCTCCAGGTATGCTGGCAGTGCACTTGTAATAGGAAAGGCTCCAAACAGAAGATGGTGGAACACCTCATTTTGTAACCCCCACTTGGCTTAGGAGATAGAGCACTCATACAAGAAATGGCAGACCGAAATTCAATTTGGTCCTTTGCCTGATGGAATTCAAAACACATCTCTCACCTGGACAGTTGCCTGACAACCAGGCTGCAGGTAATTCTGAGATAGAGAACTTCCTAACCCTTCTGTTAAAGGGGTTCCACTGCTCAGAAAGGATTGTAAGATTCATTAAGTCATAGAGACAGAGAATGACTCCTTAGCACACTGAGCCACGTCCACATGAGCAGGGGCATTTGTTTGCAGCAGCACAAATAGCACAAAAGCTGTTTGCAGCTGTGCTCCAGCCAGCCAGGGAGTGGCATTTAGAGACAGGGCAGCCTGCTTCTCAGTCTCCACATGATGAGACAGCCTGCACCCCAGCCAGCTGTGGAGCAGCTGGCTGGGGCACAGTGTGCCTTGAGACAGGGGAGCAGGCAGCCCTGGATTGGTTGCTCCCCTGTCTACACATGCCCCAGTGCGGGTGCTCTGCTGTGGAGACCCTGCATCGAGGCATGTAGAGATGGGACAGCAGGCAGCCCTGGGCTGGCTGTTCCCCTGTCTCGAGGCACACTGCACCCTAGTCAGCTGATTTGCATCTGGCTGGGGTGGAGTATGCCTCAGCGCAGGGGTTCTGTGTGTCTCAGCACCCAGGGCCACCTGCTTCCCTTTCTCGAGGCACCCTGTGTCCCGGAAAAACTTCCCTGGGGAGTGGCTGGCTGAGGAACAGGGTGCTTCAATAAGGGGGCTATGCAATGCATGGAGATGGTGAAGCAGGCAGTCCTGGGCTGCTTGTTCTCCTTTCTCCATGTCTGTCCCAGCATGTGCCACTTTGGCGTGCTTTGTGCCACTTTTTTTCAGGGTTTTCTTTTTTGCTACTGGGAAATCTTGGTGCTGCAAATTAGTATTTTGCCCTGGTGCTGCAAATTAGTACTGCCACGCATGGTTTAACATTCAAGGCATGTGGTTTGTGGCACCACAAACTGCCCATCCCTGTACATCTGGATTCTGCCCCATTGCCTAACTACTCACCTGGTGGGTGGGGAGAGAGGAAAACTAAGTTCCAGTATGTATGCATTTTATATGAAATAGTCATTGAATAAAATATTGAAGCACCTACTGGATGAAGGACTGGGACCCATTTTCCCTCCACAGGCTGAGTGTACCAACTATTAGCAGGGGTGTCCAACTCAACTCCTTCCCTGGAACAGATGCAGACCATAGGGCTACTTGCAGGATGGATCCAACCAAGAGCAAGGGGTGGCTTTGGCAAGTAGCGATGATAGCTCTGTCTCTCTCCTGGTGCCTGCAGCAGTGGTAGTGGCAGCTCCGGCTCCTGCATGGTGCATGCAGTGCTGGCAGTGGCAGTAGCTCCAGCTCCCACTGTGTGCTGCATGACCCATGCTAGAGCAGGAGCCACTGCTACCACCATGTGCCTCATGTCCTTAGAATCATATCATAGAACCATAGAAGTAGGGTTGGAAGGGACCTTGTAGATCTTCAAGTCCGACCCCCTGCCTGGGCAGGAGGGAAACTGGGCTCAAGTGACCCCAGCCAGGTAGGCATCGAGCCGCTTCTTAAAGA